AAAAAAAAAAAAAAGCTGACTGTAGCAGGTAACCAATGAATTAGCATTTCACAAAGCACAGACAATAACATACCATTTATTGGGCAGAGCTGGAGGACCCTGAGCTTGTGCTTGCTGTATCGATCCCTCTGTTCATTGCGGATATTAGTTCCTTGACACATTGCCCCAAGGTGGGTATTTCTGCAAAAAAGGAGGGAAAAAAAGTATTGTATAATTTAAAGTTTGAAAATTTACTACAATTAACCGATTTTGAGGACATACCCATTTTGACAATGTCAGAAGTGCCTATGCTCGGTGGTTCCCTGATATCAACTTCAGTTAGCGGTTAACCTAAACTAAGCTGCAGCTTGAGATGTATGTTGCTTTCTCTAATTGTAACATGTCAAAACACATCGTAAGTGTGGAGGGGGTGGGGGCAGGATGCCAAACACCACAGTTGAACCTTCTGGAGGTGTCATGAGTATATTTCTACAAAAAAGTGATGAAGAAAGGTGCTTGCTTGAAATGCTTACAAAAGGTTGTTGTTACTGTTAATTCCTAATGCTCAGAATCTTTCCCTGTATAAAACTGAAATCCTGTACCACCTCTTGGTACCCACTGCTTTGAATACAATGCAAGTCAATGGAAGATTGCAATCACAAATGTAATAGTATATACACAAGACAGAATTCTCCACATAGCCTCCCGTAGCAGAGAAAAACACATTTCAGGTATTTCATACCTTTCAAAGCTTCCACCACTTCACCACTGACATATAAAGACCGTTCCATGCTCTCCCCACCTGCCTCAGGAGCTCCTGAGGTGTCCTACTTTTAAAAAAATAAAAGAAAAAGAAAAAGAAAAGGAGGATTTGCATGACAATCTTCTACTTGCAAAAATGCTTAGCGAGGTCACATTGGTTTTGAAAACCTGCTAAAAGATTGCACTTAAAATAGATTAGGTTGACTATTAGGCAGTCCAAATGTTTTTGTTCCTTGCTTACGGTTGGTTGAGAATCCTCTGGGTAATCGAACAAATCCACATTTGTGTCCACGGGTTCGGCTTCAACTTCCTCCTCACTATGTAAGGAAGTGGAGTGTAATGGATTGGTTCTGCGTGGAGCGGTTTTCCCCACTTCAACTGAGTGAGGAGCCTCTCCTTTGCAAGCCTTTTTTGTCTCTGAATCAAAGTTCGCAAGAAATAAAAACTCAGTTAAATACAACATACAAAACAGGGAAGGGCCAACAGGACATCTATACATGAAGTATATAAACAACTGACTTTTAAACAAAAACATAGATCTTCTGATTTGTAAAATCTCTGTAATAATCATTAAGAGGATATTCCATCTTAGGACTGCAAAATCATCAACATGAGGGAAATTATATTTAAAAATGTCATGTGTTGCACAATATTATTGTAAATACTTACTTTTGCTTTGTCATATTGTCGCTTCATCTCAATGTCTGTTTCGTCATCAGAACTTTCTAAATGTTTTCTTTTCTGGACCAAAGACAAAAACACATAATACTGCATTTTCAGGTGATGCACTATGGAAGCATATGGGTAGCAATACTCAATTGATAAAGCAATATGCAAAATAACAATGCAATATGTAAAAAGGAAATGTATTTAAATTTATATTTTCAATACCATGTGTAACATTTAATGCGAAATGAAAATTCAGTAATATAATTTACATTTGCCATTTCTTATACTACTTTGTTATTTAAATACAAATTTAAATGCTTTATAATCTGCAGAATTAAAAATGAAAATGTATTACCAGAACTGATTAGATGTTTACGTGTTTAAACAAAAATTGGAGCAAAATCATCATTGAAATGTTATTTTTCTTAAATGCATTTTCACTCGCAAGTAAAACACTTAAGCTTGTATTTCAGAAAACAACCCGCGATGACGGTTTAAAAATTCAATTTTAAAATGCATTCCAGGCCTATTACGACCCCACCCGGTCAATCATGGCATCAAGGCGGCCAGCGTGTAGTTCTGTGTGCTGAAAACGTTGTGTGTGTCCTTGCAAGAAGGACAAGGGGATATCATATATTTTAATTCTACAGTTAATGTCATGTTGTATGAAGTTAGCCAGCCGTAGCATCTTGTAATCAAGCCACCAGCAGCACACTCATTTTGACTCGCATGTTATAAAGTTACTTTATATCATGCGAGTCAAAATGACTGAACATGGATTAAGTATTTCTCCAAATTACTGAACAAAAGTCAGCACTAAACTAAATATTAAGAGTTCATGCATGTTATCAAGTTAAACAAATTATACTTACACTTGGTGGAGCGCTGCCTCCTGCGGCCTTGCTGTTCGCCATCATCTCTTGTCATTCTTCTCATAGATTTTAAAGCCATGTTTTTTACCATTTCATAGGCTTTTTTTGTTTTGTTTACACTGTCAGAAATAAAATAAACTATAACTGTATTTTAGCCCTTTACTGGGGCAGTAACCTCAAAAGGTGCAACTTGTCTCTTGTCATTCTTCTCATAGATTTTAAAGCCATGTTTTTTACCATTTCATAGGCTTTTTTTTGTTTTGTTTACACTGTCAGAAATAAAATAAACTATAACTGTATTTTAGCCCTTTACTGGGGCAGTAACCTCAAAAGGTGCAACTTAACTAAAGGGAGCATATTAGTACCATATGTGATCGCGACCTAATCAGATTATACCCCAGATACCCCTGATAAACACCCACATTTATAAGCCTCCCAGTAGCAGGCTTTCAAATAAATTAAAAGGACAAGCAGGAACAATGACACAAGAGCACAAGTTTATTCATCAATCACTACTAAAAACATTGTATTTTCTTATGAATGTTGTGCTCACTTTACACCTTAAAAGTAAACTACTTGATTTAAGCCAAACTAGCATTCATTGGCATTGGTAGCAGAGGTGTCCAAATACATAGCTTATGGAGCACCAAAGAGACACTACATAACCAGCCCAATGGCTTTGGTTTAGTACGACCAAATGAACCAGCCACCCCTATACTCACAAAAAATGACAATAATAATGACAATGACAATAATAGCAATGAATAACAATTTAAAAAAAAAAAAATAAATAAAAAAAAAAACCAGACCAGAAAAAAAATTAAAGGCAGTTACTTTCTTTGATGTTATACCGTTACACCAAACATTAGATACAGCTCAAATCATGAACCAAGACTGAAGAAAAAAAAAATAAACAATCCAAACCAACCAACAAAAAGTATACATTCACTACATAATACACCATCAAAAAAAAAGGGAAAACAAAATCAAAAGAAAATCACCCCAAAATAAACCATAAATTCTCAGTCCCTTAACTGAGCAATATCAATGTAAGGCAAGACAAAAGGAATAATACCCAACCAACCCCAATAACAAAATTCAAACAAACACCTGAACCAAATCGACTTACAACAAACCCCAATTAATACAATAAACAAACCAAACAACAAAACAAAGAAACTTCAAGCCAACTCAAAGGCGCGCGCGCGCACACACACAATTTAACAAGACACACGCAACAGTCGAACACCACAAATCAATATACTGGCAACCGACCACCAGGTGGCAGCGGAACAAGAGGCAACGGTCTTGCGTCTCCAAGGCAAGCGATGTACAGACAATAGCGAACTGAAGGCGTTCAAAGCAACAGTGCGCAAGCAACAATCCGGCGTCCCAAAACTGGAACCGGTATATAAGCCACAACAAAGCAGCAGCTGGCGACTTCTGCAAAACAACAAATAGACATTTTTCTTCTGCTTCTCTCTCTCTCTGCTTTTCTCCCCTCAAACATTTTAGAATATAAATAAGGTAAAAGAAAATGTACCTTTCATGCGCATGACACTTACATACTCACTAACAATGCCTGGACACACACGACTAATCTAAAATTACATGAAACAACAATCACATTAATCCAAATACGAATTAAATTAGTTTCCCCCCAAACACCCATATTCTAAATTTATAATTCCTTTTTGTCTAAAAGACTAAAAAACAACAACCATACCTTTCCAGAGGAGTGAGGAAGATACACGACCCACAATACAGGTCACTTCAGTGCAATGCCACGAGGAAACTGAAATCTAACTTGTGTCTATATAATTAGGTTATTACCTGACGTGAAATCTCACCTGTGTCTATATAATTAGGTGATTACCTGACGTGAAATCTCACCTGTGTCTATATAATTAGGTGATTACCTGACGTGAAATCTCACCTGTGTCTATATAATTAGGTGATTACCTGACGTGAAATCTCACCTGTGTCTATATAATTAGGTGATTACCTGACGTGAAATCTCACCTGTGTCTATATAATTACGTGATTACCTGACGTACCAACCCACCACGCACTCCACGCACCATTCTTAAAGGGGCAATGCTACTACACATACAAGTATGCATCCTTTAAGGGTAGATAAGTTACAAAGGTGCACCTTTGAGGGTACCTCATGAAAAATAAACATGGTGTTACATAAGTACTAAATGTATTATTATTACCATAGTAAATTTGTGGTTACTACAGTTTTACTACAAATACTGTGGTAAACTGTGGTTACTGTAATAAAACCATGGTTAATTTTTGTAAAAGGCTGCCAGGCTGTTGTACCCTTAAGGTGAAACTTTAGCATATTTTTTTTTTCTGACAGATTTAGTAAAGTCGACATGAAATGGAAGTTGTGATTGTCTTTTCTTCTTTACTGTGACGTATATCCGAGTGAAACGGCATCTTAAATGAGAGGGCGGGACTTGATTTCGTCCTTCAGAGGAATAAATGTACTGAGGTGTTTGGCAGGAATAGATTGGGGAGCTGATAGACAGTCTCTAAAAAGAATATACTGTGCACTTATAAGGTCTACACCTTCACTTCTTTTTCACAAGGGAATATATAAGACAAATGTGCACAATTCCCCTATATTTATGATCAGTCCATGTCTTGTAGTAAATTTACGACAAGCTCAACACCATATATTGCATATTTGCTTTATAGCGTTTCTATTTGTGTAACACGCAAGCTGATGCTTTATGTGATGTGATAGCCAGACGTAGAGGAACTGACTCTCACCCTAACTCTTACAGTAGCCTAACCACTCATGTTTACTGTCAGTTTCCTCTATGCATTTATGGTGAACATTGTAAACTGTGTGGCTTAGTCATCTGTAAACAGTAATCATATTGTCCTAGTAGCTACAGTCGATGCTTGTCCAGTTGCTAAGATATGCTAATGTTATCATCAGTTATCTTGCATACTTAATCCCACCTTTCCCCCATTCAGCGATATGCCCGTGATACAGATTTTTAAGTGCACTTGCCTCATCACTTCTCTAACGGATTCAGAGAGTTTTTGATGCCCAGGGCAGCGAGAGGACCAATGACCGCAACATCTACACTATAACGTTAACTGTTGCACAGAATACTTTATATTTTTCAACAATCCATCCTTTCTCCTTCTATTTGATTGTTATTTTTTTATTTTAGATTTGCGTGATGTGTGTTTAGGCACGATGTTACTAATGCTATGGCATTAAGAAAAGGATTTAGACTAATTCAGACTAAGTTTTGTTTAATGATTCAGAACCGGTGGCTCATATCGCGCTGTTGTTGTGCATGCAGCGAAGGCAACCCAGTTTCACTTTTAAAGGGGTCATATGATGTTGCTAAAAAGAACATTATTTTGTGTATTTGGTGTAATGAAATGTGTTTATGCGGTTTAAGGTTTAAAAAACACATTATTTTCCACATACTGTACATTATTGTTTTTCTTCTATGCCCCGCCTTTCTGAAACGCGTCGATTTTTACAAAGCTCATCGGTCTGAAAAGCGAAGGTGTGCTCTGATTGGTCAGCTATCCAGTTAGTTGTGATTGGCCGAATACCTCAAGCGTGTGACAGAAATGTTACACTTAGTTTACCTTAGCTGAGGGAGCAACACCCCTAGTTCTCAAACGAGGGGAGGCTCGACCTGCAGCGTGATTGTAGAATCAGAAGGGTAAGCGTACTGCAAGCTAGCCAAACACTCAGCGCATCAGAGAGGCAGAGGAAGGGCCTAATTCGCCTGATGCTGCTGGTTCCAGGTGCTCTGGAAAAACAGAGAACAGAGGAGAACTCCGAATTCAGAGTAATAACGTTGCTCATTCCAGGTAACCCTTTGATAAAGGGGAGCACTGCTCAATACTACCACGAGGACAGCCCATGGAGCGAGGAATCCAACTCCTCAGAGAGAATTAAATGCTCGAAAGAAAGCACCATGCTCACAATAACCCTCAATGGTGAGGGAAGTGATGCTTCCAGAGTATGTCGACAGAGACACACTAGATGAGTGGAGCCAAGGTACCGGGGTCTAAACCAACTCAGAGAAAGGAAACGAGGTTAATAACGCGTAACCCTTACCATACAGGATTTCAGAAATGTGGGCAAAGCATAACGTGCACACTTACCACTTATGTGGATTTTAGAAAGTGGGCAAAGCATAACGTGCACACTTACCAGCTATGTGGATTTTAGAAAGTCTGCAAAGCATAACGTGCACACTTACCACTTATGTGGATTTTTAGAAAATGCGCAAAGCTTAACGTGTGTACTTACCAAAGTATGGATTTAGAGTTTTCCAAGCATCTGCTCACAGGTACCCGGAAGTACTGGGCCAAACGGGAGAGGCAAGCTCAAATACAACCCTCAAAGGTGAGGGGAGCACTGCCCGAGACAGCATTTACACAGGAAGACGCGCCGGGGGCCTCATGATCACGAAGGCTCCCGCAGAAGCTTGTGTTATGGCCGCATGATCCAGGAAGTATAAAGCCGAAACCCGTCTTATCGTACCATCTGGACCTATATTGACGAGTGAAATAAACACTGCAAGTCGAGCACCCGGTTTCTGAACCCAGCAGAGGGGGTGCCCATCGAGGACCTACCCTAGAAAGGGACAGAAACACACAGGTCCCGGGAAACACTGCAAAGAAACTAGCAGAAGGGTTCACACAACCACCAATCTCATTAGATACACATATATATTCATATATACATATATTAGACATGGATCATACTCACCCACCATGGTTCCCGCGTCGGAGCTCTGTCAGAAGAAGCCTCTAGACCGGACCATCAGTAAGATGGTCACTATGAAGCCATAGAACCAACCAAACCTAATTGGAAGGCCAAACAAAGTAGTTTCGCTTTCACAACGAAACACTGTGAATAGGTCTAGTGGAACAACAGTAATAGACTCTCGCCACGTAAGCCCTGTCCTATCTTCCGCCCCAGTTGCCGTGGGGGGACCAGTTGGCTTACTAGGGGCGCTGGAAGGACAATAGTAGCAGCAATAGTAGCACTTTGTTAGGGATCCCAATTCATCGGTCACCGACATGACTCGGAGTGACCGACTGAAAGGGAACGTCTCGGTTACGTATGTAACCGTCATTCCCTGAAGGAGGGAATGGAGAATGTCTGGGCTGAAGGACACTGCATTGCAAACTGACTTGGGCAGGCTGTATGGGTTACTGTGCTTACCCGCAGTCTGCCTTTGTGACCGACGTGGCGCCGGGGCGGGTACTCTAGGCTCAACCGGGGCTGCCAAATTACTCCTTTGAGCAGGGACTGGGCGCTTCTCAAAAGTATCCAGACCCATGTCTATAGGAGCCACCCCCATGCCATCACCTTCATCTACACTCTCCTCCAATGCAGTAAGTGTCTCCTCAACACTCTCTTGTTCTTCAATCTCAGGTGAAATCAAATCATCTACCTGGGAACTGGATCGTTTCATACATTCATCTACTGAAGGCACTGATTGCCCTGTCGCAGTACGCCAAGTCTCCTCCACAACTACGCACTCGGTGTCAGTAGGAGCTGGTATTTCCTCATGCAATGGACTAACAACTTCTTTCGCAAAGCTTACTTTCCTACGCGGTGCTGGCACTGGGGTTGGTCGTGGACAAGGTTGAAGGTGAGACCGTTTCATACATTCATCCGCTGAAGGCACTGATTGCCCTGTCGCAGTACGCCAAGTCTCCTCCACAACTACACACTCAATGTCCGGAAGAGCTGATATTTCCTCATGCAATGGACTAACAACTTATTTTGCAAAGCTTACTTTCCTATGCGGTGCTGGCACTGGGGTTGGTCGTGGACAAGGTTGAAGGTGAGACCAATGGACCCTTTTTTTCACACCGTCTGGTTCCACCACATAGGTAGTTCCTTGAACATTCTTCACCACGTAGACCTGTGATGCCCATGCATCCTGAATCTTATTTCTCCCTGCCGGACGGTGCCTCAAGTAAACTTGCTGTCCAACAGCAATCTCCGGGCAATACACCTCACTCTCATGCCATTCAGTCCGTTCCGCTGCTTTTCTTTCTGCATACTCTCTCGCTCTAGCATGAGCGTCCTGGAGTCGCTCCCGGTGAACAGACAACCAGTTGGTTTCCATACCTTCCTCAGACTCCCGTCCCAACAAAGCATCAACCGGAAGGTGCGGTTGTGTACCAAACAACATATAATACGGGGAGTATCCCGTGGAGGAGTGGGGCATCACGTTATAAGCATACACTAATTCCGGTAAGTGTTCAGGCCATCTCTTCTTCTTGTCTTGTCTTCTTCTCTTCTCTGAGAGAGCGTCAGCCGCTGTATTACAACGACCACCTGGTCGGTAGCAGATCTCAAAATTAAAAACAGCTAGTTGGGCCGCCCACCGCGGCTCCACTGCTCCCAGCTTCGCTGTGTTAAGGTGACAGAGCGGATTGCTGTCAGTGAGAACAGTGAACCGAGACCCCAACAGATAGCCCCTGAACTTCTCTACTACAGCCCACTTTAGGGCCAGGAGTTCCAGTTTCATGCTGCTGTAGTTGCGGTCATTGCGTTCGGCACCTCTCAGCCTCCTACTTGCATAGGCAATTACTTTCTTCCTCCCATCCTGAAGCTGGTAAAGGACAGCACCCAGGCCCAAATTACTGGCATCTGTCTCTAACACGAATGGAAGGGAGAAGTCGGCATATCCCAGTACTGGAGCGCAGGTCAGCTCCTTCTTGAGATGTTCAAATGCCTGATGGCA